AGGTGTTTGCACCCAGCCGGGGAGATAGACACCTGCTTACGCACGAGCAACCCCTAGAACCATTACAACCACATACAAGAGAGAGGTGTCAACAAGCTTTGGGGAGCCCCAAGGTTTCCAAGAGTCCAAAAGGGGGGGGCAAAAGATGGAGAGATTCCAAAACAGCTCATTGAGTACTGAACACACTCAGTAGGAATAATTTTGACTGACTGTTGTGAGGATACAGAAAACTGTGGAGGGGAGGTGAAGGAATGAAAGAAGGCCAAAAACCTCTGTGGCAAAGGCACCCACTTCTCATATTTTACAGATGAGGAACCTGAAACTGAGAGTTAAGGGAGTAACAGAAGGCCAACCCTAGCAGGGGGTCTGCTGTTATTGTTGTTTTGTAGTTTGCTGCTGTTGAACTGCTGAGTGCCAGGAACCATTACTGAAGTAAAGTAAACCCGCAACTTATGTGGGAGTTATGTTCCAGGGATCATGCCTAAAGTCAAAATCACATATAATCAAAACGCATTGATTTTAATGGCAGGTGGCATTGCTAAAGTCAAAAGGGGGAACCATGGCCTAAAAATATTTTTGCCATCCACGTAAAGCTGAATGTGCACAAGTGCATAAGTTGTAGGCTTACTGTACTGTGAATCTGGCAGAGGCCTACCACTAGATCCTGTTCCAGCTGCCCTACTCTAGGCAGATGAGGAACAGGAGGGTTCCTGCACAATGCGAACACGTTTCATAATTAGGATCCAAACATGTATAATCTTCTTTGAGATCGTTCTCCTTCAGTTAAGTGTATTTTTCCCCCTTTGATGGTCAGGAGAGAAAAGGGGATTTTCTGCCACGGAAGCACTACAGCTGCAGCTGATGGCAAGCTATTAGTTAGTTGCTTTTGGGAGATTTCCTCAGTTTAGCTGCCTAAAAGCATTACTTTGCAAAGCAGGAAGATTTCACAAAGCCGATTTGTCTGGCAGTTTTCAAACAGCTTGTCCCTGGTGCAAAGTGGTTTGAATTGAAATAAACTGTACAGCTTGTCTGCAGTAGATTTCTTCAGGGATGCTTGGCCTGCCAGCCTAGAGGTCAGTCTATTATCTCCAAGATGATATCTCGCTTTTTATGTTTACCATTGTTTGTTGTGTGTTTCTTAAGCTATAAAGGAGTCAACTTTTTTGGGGGAGAGGGGAGATGGCTTTGCTTAAACTGCACTTGTTTACACTTCTCCACACCACTGTTTCTGAATCTCAAATCAGTTAAAGGAAGGCCATGGTTGTTCCCGGAAATCTCAGGAGAGAAAAATTAGAGCAAGCAGGGGCCTCTTGAGTTTTTCTCTTCTCACTGAGGTCATGCACAGTTGGGATTCCAGATTCTCAGACCAAAAGGAATGTGAAAATAGGATGTGAAGAATATATGTATTTGGTTGAACTATAGATTAAAAAAATGTGGTAGCAAGTGACTAGCCAAGCTTTGGATACAGCTGTAAACATGGAAACGTCCTTAAGAGCAACAGGAAAGGCAGCCAACAGAAACATTAGTCTATGTCAACCGTGGCACTTCATTTGTGTAGAAATCGGAGAAAGTCGACCGTCTCTTTCTGCTTCCAGACTATTGGGCAGCACCAATAATTCAAAAATATGAATTGCTAGCAAAGTGGTATGACATGATCCTGAGATATTCCTCAATCCTCTCCTTCCTCCAATCTTGCTTTTATGCTTACTCCTTATAAATACATAACATCTTGTGTGGCATTCTTTTGTATTGTCCTTGTGAAGTTTTGTCATAAATGGCACGTACGTCAGGGACGAAGGTGGGAGAGACATAGAAGAGGAGGAGGTGGAGAGGGAGAGACAGACAGCTCTATAACTGGCAAAGTGAGGTGGCCACCTTTGGCAGCAGATGGTGTGGAACAGCAATCAAAGCCAATCCCGGATGTTTCTCCTGAGCCATTCACCTCTGCAGGAAGACAGACTTTGTGGGTCATGCAGTCTGCTTATTGCCGCTAAAGTAGCCTGCTGATTTCAAGGATGGTGGAGGATGTGTTCTCATTACCAGCGCCAAAGTGAGATTCAACTAACAGTCCAGTCAGCATCTTTAAGAGGACTGATGGGGGGAACCATCTTGTCCTTTGTCTCCAGCAGCAAAATCTCTTGAGCTGAACCAGGAGAAAGAAATGCATCGGAGCAAAAGTGTAGGGAAAGAAAGAGATACCGGTAAGCAAGGAAGTAGCGAGGTGGGGAAGAGATACTATTGAAGAAAAGACAAGCTGGTCAAGAACATAGTGAGAAAGACAGTTATCTTTGCAAGAAAAATAATTGGAGGGAGAGGGAAAGAATAGTGAGAAAATGGAGGAAGACTGATAGAAAGTTCCCCATGGTTTGCTGTTTGGGTAGCATGCATTAAGATTTACATGACAAAATGTTGAGTACAGGCCTCTACTTTGTGAATAAGATAAAATAAGTGTACCAAATATGCAAACAAGGTCTTGGAGGGCCTAGAAAAATATTTTAAGTCGTGTAACCACAAGGAAATGGATACTTAAAGCAGCACACAAAATAAACACTCCTGCAGCAGGAAAGTTAAATGTTCTGGAAAAACAAGAAATTGGCTTGTGAGGAGAGCATTCTAGAAGGCTCCCTTGCAAATTGCTCAGGGGTGAGGAAAATGTAGCGCTTGCTTACATAGCCAGAAGCTATGGTGATTCACATACCTTTATTATATGTGGGAAATGTTTCTAGTTAGTTCTCCTGCCTTTCCACCTTAATTTCTGCATTTGACAGGCAGAAGGGGCAGTAGTTTTCCTCTAAAGCTAAAATGTGGCTAGTTACAGGTTAAGGTTTATCTTTCAGTTGTCAGCAAACACATATGTAATAAAAAATACATACGTAAAAACAAAATACAAACAATTTAAACATTTTTAAAGTGTTAAAACATCTAAAAACAATGAAACACAATAAAACATGTAACCAATCATGTGTCTGAATAGGTCCAGTGAAAGAGAAATCTTTTCAGCAAGTGTCTAAAAGAATGCAGTGATGACAGCTCTCTAATGTCAATAGGCAGTGAGTTCCTAAGTGCAGGGGCTGTCATGCTAAAGTAATGAATTATGGCAAACACAGAATGTGCATTGTGTGGCACTTGTAGGAGTGCAAGTTGTGCACATCAAAATGCTCAAGTTGGTACATATGAGATAACGTGATCCCTTGATAATCCTAACCTCCTTTCTATTCTATTTTAGCTGACTAATGCACCATCAGTTTTATCACAGCTTTAGAGACTGTGTGTTATTAAATAATCTGAAACTTACCAATAGGGTGATTCAAATAAGAGATTAAAACATTTCATTTTTAAAAACAACAGCAAGCACCTAGACAATTGTTTTTTTCCAACATTTTTTTTCCTGCCGACTCAGCAACATTCATTAACTTAGGCCGTAGAGCAGCTGAATCTCATTTCTCTGGAGATTATCAGGAAGGAATTAAATTAATAATCTTTAAGAGGAACGACTGGTGATCACTTTTGACAGGCTACTATATATATGTAAGATATTGTCAGCCAGTCTTTTCCCTTTTTTGAAGAATGCCTTGAGCATTCCCAGGAGATGCAAGATACTTCACTCTTCAGCCAGACAGAGCTCTGTTTTTCTTGCGACTGTAGTTAAGTCATGGGTAAATGGGCTTTTGCTGCTCCTCCACTTCCCCACTTTTCATCTCTGCTCTGAATGTGTCACTTGCATGTGGCATATGTGAATATTTGGTGGAAGGGAATTGCTGTCACTTCAACATAAAATGCAGGGCGCTTGTGACAGCAAAGGAGCTGGTTGGTACAGGTGCATTTTTAATGGCTTTTTGATGCACAGCCACGTGACAGACAAAAGACAACATGGAAACCATGCCCCTTGTTTCTAATGCATAATTTTTTAAAGAGATGGGACTTGCCTCCCCACACATCCATGCAAACTGCTAATACCTTGAAAACCTTCCTGGTTTCCCAGATACTACCAGAATTTCCTTTGAAAACTATACCTTCGGCTTTCCCTCACCCAAGTCTAAAGATAGACACAGAAACCCTTTAACCAGTTTGCAGTGGCTTCTACCTGGCACCTTAGATACCGTATTTTTTGCTCTATAAAACTCACTTTTTCCCTCCTAAAAAGTAAGGGGAAATGTGTGTGCATCTTATGGATCGAATGCAGTCTGCGCAGCTATCCCAGAAGCCAGAACAGCAAGAGGGATTGCTGCTTTCGCTGCGCAGCGATCCCTCTTGTTGTTCTGGCTTCTGGGATTCAGAATATTTTTTTCTTGTTTTCCTTCTCCAAAAACTAGGTGCGTCTTATGGTCTGGTGCGTCTTATGGAGCAAAAAATATGTACATATTTTAGGCCAGGCAAAAGTATTCCTCTTCTCTCAGGCCTTTGGCTAATTAAGCAATCTCTGGTCTTTTAAACTGGGGAGTATTGTTTTTGTGTGTTGCTATGTTATGCATTTTTGTGTTTTATATTGTAAATTGCCCTGTGATCCTCGAATGAAGAGGGGTGTAGAAATTTAATTGATGATGATGATGATGATGATAGTACACACCCTCTCCCTCCTCTCCCCATTCTGTCTTCCCTGGTGATGCACTGGTGATGTCAAAGAGCAGGGCTGTCGAATGCTACAAATTTTATTGTGAGTCTCCTGAGATTTGTTATTCTCCCTCCCTTCATGAAGCCATGGGCCCTTGAGTGATGTAAATAAATCAGAATTCTGCCTCCGATTAAAAGGAAAGTGTGGCATTTCTGCTTCTAGCCTGCAGAGACTCACAAAAAGAGAGAGAGAAAGAAAGAAGAAGGCAATGGCTCTTCTTAGAAGAATTGCAAAGTCTTGGAAAACTTAACGCTCTGAGCTGCTATGCTGGCTCCACTGGTTTTTGGAAACAGATGGGCATCCTATGCTGGCAAGATTCCCTTGCCAGTTTGCTAACAGAAAGGCATTTCAACGGCAGTGGTGGGCAGCATTGAAGATGAGGCGGCTCTGTGTTGCTGCTAGGGAGTAAGGCAGGCATAGGGTGGGAACTGCAGCCCTTCAGATGTTACTAGTCTGCAGTAACCGCTGTCAGTAAGAGTTGGTCATGCTGACTGTGGGATGATGGGATTTGGAGTCCAACATCTGGAGGACTATTGTTTTCCTGCTCCTGGACTAAGAGAACCTAGTGGCACCTTGAGAGTGGTTTTACTTCTAGTAAAGTAATCCCTGAGTACAGAATTGCCTTGGCAGGAGACAGCCAAATGCCTTTTGCCCTAGTTGCCAAAGTTCAGTTACGATAATGACTGCACTGTTACCCAAGTTCCTGGGGATGGTTTATGCCCTTGGTGAAAGGGCATATGCTAGAATTTAGAAACATAAGCTACTGTCAAATGGGACTATGTAGTAAAAGTTACCTGTGTAATAAATATTTCACCTATGTCTTAAAAAAGCCCTGACATTGTTATAGAACAGTGTACTTGCAACTTCATATTAGTTAATGGTGTAATATATGCATGTTCATTTTCTGTTTAACAAAAAAGCTGTGATAATTTATAAATATTTCCAGCAGTGTTCACAAAAATGTAAATAAATAAAAACCCATAAAGATTTCACTAAAGAAAAAAGTTGAATGGCTTTTCAAGAATAAAATGTTTCATGATATCTTGAGGAAAATACAGATTTCCTTTCCCCCTCAGGAAGAAGCTTTCAAAATTGATAAGATATTTGGAGTTGCTTATATCTTTCGGTACTGGTTCTAAATGTTGATGTGGGATATCTTCCCAATGTTTTATATTGTTATATATATATTTGTGTGTGTGTGTGTGTGTGTGCGCGCGCGCACATGCACAAAGATCACATGGAAATGTAGATAAGAAGCAAGCTGATCATAGTCCTTCTTTAAACTCCAAATACACTTCCTTCACTTAAGCCATATATCTTTGATTCCATACTAAGCATGACATTCAGTTTTCAGGAAATCAATACTACATCCTTTCCCTAAGCCAGAATGCCTCTCTCATTCATCTTACATACTGTGTTATAACTAGACATATTTCCCACAGGCACATTCTTCAAACACTTGCCTCCTCCTCTCTGCCCCCATGACTGACAGCCTAGCACGCTATCTCAGAGAATAGTCATCATACCTGAACAAAATTTGTACCTTTTCCATGGTGCCATGTTATACAGGGTCAGGCTGCCCTTTGAGCATTGGCAGAGCAGATTAGGGCAAATGGGAATTGCTCAGTGCTATACACAAGCTGCTGTCTGTGAAATTAGGAAAATGCAAGAAGTGTTGTGATTAATAGGCAGATTTGGGAACTTTGAAGCAGGGCAGCCTGTAGATTTATCACAGCGCTGATACCATTGGCAGTGTTTTAACTCTCGGCTGCAGCTGTGTTGAATTATTCATTATAGTATTTTAAAAAAAACAATGAGGCTTCAGAGGGCAAAGCTGTAGGATCTATTTGAAAGCTGAAATGGAAGATCATGTAATTAAAAATAATTATTAAACTTCATTTATCCAGCTAGTTGTAGTTCTCTCTCCCCTCAGATACGGTCATCATTAAAATTATTGCTTTTCTTGTTTTGTTTTTTTAAATCTCTTTCTGTCCAGTGAGGGGAGAAGAATATTGTGTTTAAATTAGAGAAGCTATCGTGTTTGCTTTAGACAGTTCGGAGAGCATTTTCATCTTGATGTCCTGCAAAGGCAGTTGACTGGTGTGAATAATGACCTAGCTCATGGAAGTTGGCTCCAAATAATATAAGCAAAAACAGAAAGCTATCTGTTTTGTGCAAGCTTGTCTTTTAGATGAACCTCTCAGAATTGCTCTAGATTTTGTAATAACTTGGATATGTAAAGATAGATTTTTGTCAATACAGAGAGAGTGGTCTCTGTAGAAAAAGACACAAACAGGGATCAAGTTTAGCTCTTTACATGCAAAATTGCTTTGGCTCATTCTCAATAATAATACTCAGTTATGTTCATACTATCTTGCGTGAAAACTCTCGTGTTTCATGTGCAGGCACAATCATAAGAGTGGGCAGGAAAGCCAACCACTCTTTGTTAAGTTGTCATTAAATCTCACAACACTGTTCATAAGACTCCTTCCATACTTTGTGGTCTGAAAGTACGGTGGTACCTCAGGTTACATATGCTTCAGGTTACATACGCTTCAGGTTACAGACTCCGCTAACCCAGAAATAGTACCTCGGGTTAAGAACTTTGCTTCAGGATGAGAACAGCAATCATGCTCCGGCAGCGCGGCGGCAGCAGGAGGCCCCATTAGCTAAAGTGGTGCTTCAGGTTAAGAACAGTTTCAGGTTAAGAACGGACCTCCGGAACGAATTAAGTACTTAACCCGAGGTACCACTGTATCTTCTAAGTACAAAGGAACTTGGCCACACAGCAGCATGCTTTCTGAACCAATAGATCTGTAATGTATTCTAGCTCAATTCCCTGCAGTGGCAGGATATCTAGATGTGCAGCATAATCCTAAACATATTTACTTGAAAGTAAGTCCTGACATCTCAAGCTTGCAGGGTTGGTGACTTCATTTTTAAGCACATTTACTTTAAGATAAGTCACCTCCTCTTATGTGCAACTACAGGGCTTTGGGGGGAAAGTTTCCATTAGTGTCACGGGATATTTTTCCCAAGCTTTGTATCCACACAGGGGGATAGGCTTCTTGTCCGCATCACAGCTGGGCGGGGGGGGGGGGAATAAACCTCACTTCCTCATACACTGCAGTCCTGATAAGAACTGAGGCTATGGCACCTGTAATTCATTAAAGGGAAACCAAAGTTGTAGCTGCACACGATGCATTTAATACAATCTGTTTGGCCCTGAGTGTACAGACAGGCCTGCGAGAAGGTAGCTGATCCTTGATTCGAAGACCTGAAGGGCTTTATGGATCAAAACTAAAGACAAGCCAAAACTCCCCACCCCACTTTTGTGGTACCATTCATCTCCTGAAAAAGTTAAGGGATTTTCAGCTATGTTTGGAATTTCTGAATAGTCTTCAAAGACAGCTCCATGTAAAACATATTGCATTAGTCTAATCTGGAATTTATCAGAGTGTGCATTAGTGAATTGCAGACTTAATCCATCCCTTCCACATTTATAATCAGTCTTCTAGAAGCTTTAAGAGGCAACTGACTGAACATCTATAAGGGGTGCTTTTCAAGCATTATGGCTGAACATGAAACTTCCTGAAAAGCAGGAGCCTCTCAACACCATCCACTGTCCACTTATCCCCAATCTTCCCAGGGATGAGCAGGGAAGGTCTGCAGGGAGCTTTTACTTGTGTTTGTGAGCAGAACCCTTGTGTGATCATATTCTACTCAAGCAAATGTGATTTAAAGCCCCCTATAGACCATCCCCACCTAGCATGGGGAAGGCCAAGGACCGAGTGGGTGGGACAACGTGCAGTGGGACATTGCTGGTGGGGCTTGCATGCATGCCCCTTATCCCTCCCCTCGTTTTAGAGCTCACGCGTTTAGGCAAATACCCACACAAAGGTTATAATTCTTGGGAATCCTGCTGTACAACAATGATTTAATGAGTGTTAAGCGGAAACAGAATTTCTTAATAATAAAGGTGTATAGGGAAGGCATGATACGCAGTAGTGCACAGACCCTCTTAAGTTTCTCAAAAATGTTCCCTCTTGTTTGAAGAAGGAAAAAAATTGAACAAAGTAAATTGGTTCCCCGAGTTTGTTTTCATGCAGAATTGAGAGCTTCTAAATTAACCCAATCCAATCCTCTTGAGCACTTTACAGTGCTAGGTTTTCATTTACTAGAGCTATTAACTGCTTTCCCTCTTATTCAGTCACTCTCAGTAGGGATTGCATGAATTGCCTCCACCACAGAACTTGATCTGTCACAGAATAATGGCATCTTAGCAGGCACCCTGTTAGAAGGCTGACGTGCTTTCTGGTATGAGTCATAAGGATAGTCTACGCTCCTGCTTATTTGGGTGACCCCGTGAACCCAGAATAATGTGTATCTCATTACAGTTCTTTTTATTCATATCTCCTTCATCATTCTTTTTAAAAAATACTTCAGAAAGAATGAGATCATAGCTAGTGTTTTTTTAATAAATATACTGCCTCCACCTTTCTGGCTATTTCCATAGACTGAGCTTATGGAAATTGTCTGTCCCTTCATGTTTTTGGGAGTATCTACAATGGTCTCCTGAAAGAACAATGCAAAAGAATAAATATACTATATGAATGTCATATACTTCAAACAACATAGATATTAAATGATTTTAAAACTTTACAAAAAAATAATAATATATGGCCTATAGAATATACAGTATTAACTATGTTGAATATCCAATAGGCCAAAGCTTTATTTTTGACAAGTTTTTTAATCCTTTCATATCTATGTTATAAAAATACATTTAGTACCTTGACATTATTATGCATCTATTGATTGATTAGGTTTGCTTTTTCATTCCTAGAAAAGTAAACTTTGATACTCTGCTTTTAAAGATGCCTTTGATTTCTTCAACAATTGAAGTCAGGATAGTAAATATCTGGCCTAAAGACTTTCAGTTAACATTCCCCTTCCTCCTTTATTGATTTGTATTCTTCCTTTTCATTTTCACCCTGCTATTATTTGACCGGGAGGGCACATCTGCACACGAATTTCTCCTTGTTTATAAAAGAAAAGCAAGCAAGAGAGGGAATTTGAGGCGAGCGCTGCCAAAGAGATGAGAAGTGGATTAGTTGACTGGCCAAGCATGCCAGAATTGGCCAGGTATGCCACACAGCTATGCACACCAAAACTCATATAATAATACGACATAATAGGCAGCCCTCTCTTTTGAAGTGCTGTCAGAGGACAGTCCTCTTCAGGAATAGCTTGCCTGGTGGGGCAGAGCCCCAGTAATAGTCTCCTGGCAGAGGAGGAGAGGGGAGTGAGGAGTCAACAACGAGGTCAGGTCTGTGCAGGTACACCAGTGGGAGCCCCGGATTGGCTCCATGCAACCCCAACCTCACTACTCCCTCCCTTCCTAATAAGCAGCTGGCTGCTAGGAGGCTGCTACTGCAGCTGTACCTCACTGGGTGAGCCATTCCTGCCCGCTCTAGGTTTCTTTCAAAAATAAGGAACCATAAATGGGGAGAGCAGGAGCCTTGAAGTTGTCCATCAACAGTTAGCAGCAGACAAGTCACCTGGCGTGTTGTATTCCTATTTAAATTATGATAATAATAAATATAATGAATATAATATAATATAATATAATATAATATAGTAATTTAAACTACTTCTAAATTTGTATCTAATCGTATACATAAACAAATGCAAATTTTATACAAATTGGCACCCTCTTTCTCTTATTTTTTAGCAATGCAAATCCTCTTTTTTGTGGTGTGTGTGTGCACATAACTGTCCACCCAACTTAACATGAAAAAATAATGGTAAAAAGTGTTTTGGAGTGATGCTTGCAGCAGGTCTTGGTGTTGTAGGCTATAGTTGGAAAACTATGGTGACCCTATTCTGATTTCAGGCTGTGATGCAGGGAACAAGACTCTTTAAACCCTCTTCTCCAAATCTTGGATCAAAGCCTTTAGGCCTGAGTCTTAAGTGCTTGGAGAACGGCACAAAAAAATACCCCATGTTGAAAAATGGAAGACTTCAGGACAGTAATACAACATCTTTTGACCATTTGAAACTGAATGAAGAGTCTTCACCAGACACAATACACACATTTTCATATATATTTTTCATGACCCTGATCTAGATGCTTCATTAAATATTGTCAAAATAGCCTCTGCATTGTGACGCTGTGTTGTTTATTAGAATTGTATAGTTCATCAGTTCGTTAAAATGTAATTGTAATAATTAAATAGTGACAGCCATAATTAACATCGCATGGAATTGTTAACCAAGACACCACAGTACCACTGCATGTAGATAAATATTGAGATGTATGCCCTTTAACATTAGTTCTTGGGAACTCAGGATATCCTTTGGAGAAGAGGCACTGAAAATGTAGATCCCTATTAAAAACCCATGTATAAAAAGCTCTGAGGATGCTTGTATGACAGCTTTCCATGTCCTCCAGATTCTAGCCAGCACAACAAGCTCCCCCAGTCCTGCTTCTCCACGAATTTCTTACTAGCTATACAAGATTAGAAAAATATATTCTGTCTCTTTCCTCTCCCCCTGCCCCCACACCACATACACTTTTGTTATAGTGGGTAGAGACCATCTGCATTCCAACAAGACAAAAAGCTTTAAGCCTTCCTGCTGCAGCTAGTTGCCTATTAATCATAATCAATTTTGATTGTTCTATCAACTAGCAGGTTCCAGCAGGCCCAGGAGAGGTCAGTTTCTACACTGTGTGTAAGAGAAAGCAATGACTATGTTATCCTCATTTCTCTTTTTTATATCCAGATACCTGATTCTTCATTACACCCCAATAATATAATGGGTAAAGTTTTAAACACATGAAAGTCTTTCTTCATTGTCCCCAGAGGTCACCAAAGTCCTTTCCTACCTTTGCACAAGCAGAAATCTTTTCACATTCACAACAGCTCCTCTTTGTTGTGTTAGTCTTTCATGGCTGTTGTATTTCATGGACTGAGTCTTTCTTAAAACTTTTTTTAAAGGATCTGTCTTTACTTATTATTAAAAGAAAAATCTAACTGTATTCTCCCCCTTTTTTTCTTTTCACATGTTTGGTCTGGCTTTGTTCTCCCTTTGGATCTAAAATCACCATCCTCTGTGCTTCATAACTATCACTGTGCTGCAGGTAAGATAAGTATATTTGCAGATAGTCTTATGCATAGATCTAATATTTTTAGCATCAAGTGGAAAACAACTTAAAAATCATCTTGAATGTCATGATCAGGAAGAGGAAAGCAGGAGGGACGATGAGATTAGGAGCATCTAGCTGAAGTGCATGTGTTCAGGCTAGATAGATGATTTTTTAATTATGTGAGCCTCTTTCCAGTGTGAGGTTTGGCACTTATGGGATGACGTTTGATATATTCCATGAACTCATATGTTTGGGGAAGTTGCATTGTATTTGATTATCTGTATAACATTTCCAGGGACAGATCTGTCAGGAACTCTAAGTTACTTTTGGCTCATGTTCAAAGTACATGCACATTTAATATCCTGCCTAGATATTAAAGGGCATTAATTTGCTAGTGCATTGGTTTATTTTTAAGCATTGTCAAGGCCCTCTGTATTTTGTCTTCCTAAACATTTCAAGACAAAGTCAAGCAATGTGCAAAGGTTGGGTGCTGCAGAAACAATCTGGGGGCTGATTTTAAAAATACAGTGATGTACATTTCATATAAAAATAATAATAATAAATTGCCCAGTAGCACCTTAGAGACCAGTTAACTTTGTTATTGGTATGCGCTTTCATGTGCATGCACACTTCTTCAGATACACTGAAACAGAAGTCACCAGACCTTTATATATAGTGAGAGGGTGGGGAGGGGTATTACTCAGAAGGGTGGTGGGAATGGGTGATTGGCTGATGGGTGTGGTAAACCTGTTGAGGACTGTTAACAACTGCAATTGCTCTTACAGGAAAAAGCAAGGGATAAGATGGCCAAAAATAGCTTTATCATGTCAGTCGTCAATTTATCATGTCTCCGTACTGCTTAGCAGTGTAAAAAGTGCAATTTCACGAAAAGCTTGTTACAAGAGCATGCATGGCATTTGAGCTAAGGGATTCTGCAAGGATCTTTCTTATCTTCCATGCTCTTTAACATCTGTATGAAGCTGCTGGGTGAGGTCATCTGAGGGTTTGGAGTGGTGTGCTATCGATCTGTATATTGAGGATACCCAGCTCTATTTCTCTTTGTCATGTGAGCCAAGTAAAGCTGTTGATGGGCTGAACCATTGTCCAGGATTTGGTAATTGGCTGGATGAGGGTCAATAAACTGAAGCTGAATCCTGACAAAATGAAAGCACTGTTGACTAATGGTTCTTGGTTCTGGGAAGAACAGGCATGGAGTTTGGGGGTGCTCCTTCATCTATCAGGTAGCCTTGATATCGTGGAATACATTTTACCAGATTCAGCTGGTTTGTCAATTGTAGTCATTACTGTAAAGTAATTCATGTCTGGTAGTCTCCTAGTTAGATTACTTTAATGTGTTATACATGAGGCCTCAGATGCTTCAGTCAGCCATATTGCATCAATATTTAAATAATTATTTTGGCTGCCTATTTGGTTCCAAGCTCACATGCACACTTCTTCAGATACACTGGTGTGTATTCTTCAGTGTATCTGAAGAAGTGTGCATGCACACAAAAACTCATACCAATAACAAACTTAGTTGGTCTCTAAGGTGCTACTGGAAGGATTTTTTTTTTATCAGAATGAAGGACAGCCTAGAAACTTCTTTTTTAAAAAACAAACAAGCACCACTGGGCAGTGTGCCTTAGGCACTAATGTATGATAACATATGTCTGGTATCCTTTCATCAACCACAGTTTTACCAAAAAGGGTGGGAAATGTTGGGCTACCCACTTACTGTGAATGTTAATCCTCAGCCCCTCAGGAAATATACATGACAGTGGATTATCTCTGTGTGACACCCTTAGTTTTTATTCACATTCACTGTACAGTGCGTTTGAGACAACGGTTTTCTCAGCAAGTGTTGTTTCAAGTCTAAAGGAGAGAGCCTAATATCTTCCTACTGTTAATGATATTTACGAACCTTAAATTTTTTCCCCAAGGATCCTTATGAACTGCTGCTATTATTCCAAAGCAACAGCTGCCCATGGAAGGCTTGATGTTATGTCTGTCATGTGGTAAATGAAGTTCAACATCTGTACTATTTTCTCCCCTTAATGTTTCAGTGGTCAGTATGGAAATCAGCATTAACCTTAACAGATCAGAGAAAGGGCTGTTAGGGAGAGTCAGTGGAGCCTTCAGGTGTAATTGAGAGACTCGCTATTCTAGTCAGGGCAAACGCACGCTTGATTAATCTCCCTATGCTCTTGCGTATGGATAAATACTGCTGCCAATTCCATATTCATGTGACCTAACAGCATCAAACAGGTTATCAAGGTCGGGCAACACTGAAGGTACTGATGAGGGAATGTCAGAAGACTTAGTGAGCTGAAACAGAATGTTGAAAGGGAGAGCCATGTCCTTGCAGTGACAAGAATAATAAGATGGAACAAACTGCATTCACTCAGAGTGAATACATTCCATTTGAATGTTTAATATTTTAGCTTCATCTAGTTGATTCCTGATTTGGATTGTGTTTATCCATAGATGGCTGCGGCTGCGGCGGCTGCAAAATTTAGGATTATTTGTGATACTTTAGGAGAATTATTTCCCGTTTAGGAGGTTTCCAGGAGCATGTTGGGGAGTGATGTGAGGCCTCCAGTTTGAGTAGGATGGCTTGGTCAGGTTTTTGTCTTTGGCTCCATGTCCAGTTTGGCTAAATGAGTGATTTCCCCTCAAAGCAAATACCAACTCCAGAAGACAGATTTTTCTTTGAACTGCAGCAGGAGAGGGAAGGGTTACACTCCATCTCTGTGTCTGCTATGATCCCATTAATTATCAACCTCCACAGATGATGCAACTTGTGTTTTAATAATCTTGCACTTTAGATGCAAATAATGTTTCAGTTATGATTTGGCCATTGTGTGCTTCCTATGATTTTTTAATGGGCAGATTGGAAACTAAATGTGAAAGAGGACATAACTTAAAACAGGAGTTGCCAACCCAGCAACCACAGGTGTCCTGGTGCTCATCGTAAGTCTTCCAGTAGTGTCCCTGGACAGGTGCCCTGAGCCTTCATTTTTCTAAAAGTAGGTCTCTAATCCTCCTAGAAAGAAAGTTATGTGGCAAAATGTGCAGGTACCTCCAAAGCCAATTTCTTTACAATGTGACTGGCACTCCACCACTCTCAAAATTCAGAATGTGCCCATAGTCCATAAAGCTTACCAACCCTTGATTTAGAATATAGGGACAAAAAAGGACAGTTGATGCATATTTGTAAAGCTGTGGTGTGAATTTTGTGAGGGATGTGTTCCCCTAATCCAGTGCCTGTGCCATTAAATTACACTAACTTGCCCCCCAGTCTTACATCTACATCTTTATCTCTGTGTGTTTATACACATTTGAGACTGAAATTATGTTGCAGGCAATAATTCTTTCTTACAGATGGGATAACAGTTGGAGATTTGGACTTCCTGCTATAACTTTCATGAGTTGGCTTGATTTCTTGGTTGTACCAGCAAATTGTACATTCATCATTCCCTTGCTTCCTTTTCACCTCTCTCCCAAAAATGTACCTTGCTGGGAAGATGAAAGTGATAAAAGCCTTACGAATGAGGTCTCTGAGTGACTTGGCTTGCGGCTGTAATTTAAATGATTGCTTGAGTGGCGTTTGCACTCTCTGGATCACTTCCCTGCCCATCCACATGCCCTGTCAGCTCCATGTAGCATAGGACTATCAGGTCAGAAATAAGACCTCTCTCCTCTGTACTGTTGCTGCTTAACTTTTCATTGTTCTTGCTTTTTGTGTGGAAGCCTGAGGCAGTTCTAAGTCATGGGTGCTTAATCAGATCAGAGTTCAGGATTATTTTAGTCCTAGGTCACCATGTCAAGTGCTGCTGTTTACAACAATAGTTTGAAGGATTTAACTTCTTAAAGAGTCTAATTATCTAGAGAATGAGCATGCCGGTTCAGGGAGTTACCATTGCTCAGACCAACACGTCATTGTAAAGCATATTTCCTGTGAGCATATTTTGGGAGGGCTAAGTGGAGCCATAGCTAGTTTTTCTTTCTAGCCTTATATTGAACTTGCATACCTGACAATTTAGTGGGAATGTCTGACAATTAGGTATTCCACACCACTTGCTACCTGACCCTTTTAACTGGAAATGCCAGGGATTGAAACTGGGAACTTCAGCATACAAAGTTATGTGCTCTACCACTGAATTATAGGTCCTCCCCAAACAAAATTTTGTCTTAAATCTCCATTTCATACATAAACTTACCACACTGTGCTATTCTATTAAGCAACCATATCTGAAGAATATATTGTGGGGGGTGGTTAACTTCTAGATCAGCCTTTCTCAACCTGTGGGTCCCCAGATGTTGTTGAACTACAACTCCCATCACCCCTAGCTAGCAAGGCCAGAGCTCAGAGATGATGGGAGTTGTAGTCCAATAACATCTGGGGACCCACAGGTTGAGAACTGCTGTTCTAGATAGAAGCCAAAGAATTGACTACTTAGGTCAAATCAATATGTGAATTTTAGCTCCACTCCATTCCATTTGGTTCTCCCTGCCCACTTCAGAGAAGCACAGAATTTGCTCCTTATATGCTACTCTTAAGGGCCATCTCAACATTAGTCTTGGTGACCTTATGCCTACTTGAATCCTTAGCATACTGTCACCAACTCTTTGCATCAGGCCTCTAGTCTCTTCCCCTTCTCTACTTTGTGGCTTTCCTTCAGCCAGCTTGCTTCTGGGCACTCTGCCCTTTTGGCGTCCTACCTTCTTTTGGCATCCTACCTTCCTTCCTATCAGCTTGCCAGTACTTAGCTGCCCAACATGGTTCCTTCTCTCGGGCTTGGGTGAAGCTTAATCCTAGCCAAAATGACAAGTTTCCCTTCCTTCACAGAATTTAGACAGTGATAAGCTTCCATAAGTTTTTGGAATGTTCACAGACAAAATTGGTCTCAGAAGCTTCAATGCACAGAGTACAGTACAATATATTGTCCGTTCTTCCTTCCTTCCTCTCTCCCTTCCTTCCTTCCTTCTTTCCTTTCTTTGTAGTTTTTATTAAAGATTTTCTTTAATAAAAGTACATGCGTTTTCTCTTTTTCAGGTTGTAAAGTCTTTTCTACAGATCACTTACATTTATTATAAGACATTAGTGTTCAGTACGGTATAAGGTCGGGAGGGGAAGAGTGGGGGAGAGGAGGGGTGGGGTGGTGAGATTTATATTCTTTTCTATAGTGTACGTGTGGGGTTTTGTGTCAGCATCAACTGGGTAGGTTCTCTTTCTATCCGCTTGTTACATTTCCTTGGTAGTAAGAGGGATTGTGGGGGCAGGTGTGGTTGGTTGGGTGTGGTTGGCTGCAGTGAGGCTTGTTTGCATTTTTGAGGGGGGGCTTGTTGGGTCACATAAGCCAGATTGCTTCGCATGCTGTCGGTGGGTTCTTCTTGTTGTCTTGTTGGGCTGTGTATGTGATAAAGGGAAGCCACACTAGGGTGAAAGCGTCCTCTTCTATTTGTCCCGTGTCAGTTTCAGTTTATTGGTTAGCTTTTCTAGTAAGGCTGTTTCCCATACGATTCGGTACCACTGGTCCATGTTCACTCCTGACAGGTCTTTCCAATGTCTGGCTATGAGGCTTCCGGCTGCTGAGAGTAGCTGGGTTATAAGCTCTTTATAGTGTGAGTGGTCATTATGATCTCGGAAGATGTTCAGTAGGGCCAGTTCTGAGGTGAGTTCTAATACTTCTTTAGTTATTTTGCATATCTCTTATAGCAGTGTTCCCCAACCTTGGGCCTCCAGCTGTTTTTGGACTACAATTCCCATCATCCTTGACCACTGGTATTGCTAGCGAGGGATGATGGGAGTTGTAGTCCAAAAACAGCTGGAGGCCCAAGGTTGGGGAACACTGTCTTATAGGACCGCTATCCAGAAGGTTGGATTTTGGGGCATTCTCACCACATGTGGAGGTATGTGCCTGTGGAGGTTCTGCCTCTCCAACATTTTGGTGAGGTTCCTGGGTGTATCAGCTCCAATTTCCGTATTGTTAAGTATCACTTATAGGAGTACGATATATTGTCAATCTGGTTATCTATGGTGATAGAATTTAATCAGCAGCAGTTGTACTGACAGACCAAAGGGGTGTGGGGTCATGTATTTGGGTTGGTGAGCCAGCTGGTTGCCCCTAACCCCTGTACACTAATGCCAACAGTGTTGCGACAGAGAATTTCATTAGTGCAAGCAGTTTCTGAGCTCTGGGAACAGTTCTGTGCCTAAGATTTCAGGTTAAAACTGCAGAGTGGAAGGAAAGGAGGACCATTTTCTGCCTCCCCACTTACAGCTACTCTCTGAAGACTGGAGAAGAGACCCTCTTAAGAATACTGGGGGGGGGCAAGGGAAAGACTAGACTGTGTGAAAAATGAACACAATATTTTAGCAGCGGTTCATTAATTTTCAGCGTTGTATTCTTGTTATAAAAAAAAGTACGCCTAGGCATTCAGTTGTTGCGCCCATAACCTAGATTTAAGGTGCCATTTAGCTTCTAGCTTTCATATGTCAGTTTCTAAC